GTATAGCTTTAATAAAGATTTATTGATTGTTTAAAAAATTAACCAGTATCACTGTACATTACTACCAAGCTTGAGCTTAAAGTAGTCCAACCGCTCATCTGAATCATAGCCATCGCAGTTTCGCTACTACACAGAGTTATATTAGGGTTTATTACTTAAATGTATTTGAACAAATTGAATCCACTGTTCTTTATAATTTGAAAAGTAGGGATAGAAACCAACATCTGGCACGATAATTAACTAGTAGTTTACTCCAGAAGTAACGGAGGATTCCATTCCATTTTTTAGGTGATTAGACGAAACAATTGAAACCACAATTCAGTGAACACTACTTTGTATTTACATGATGATTTTACTGAGCACTATGTTTATTCCATCGTGTTCAGTAAATGGATTTCTTGTGGAAATCCTTCTATGTTGCCCATGATTGTTACCTCTATTTTATGTTTCATGAACTGATTAACAGTGAAATTGAGGATACGTATTTTATCCTATTTGAAATTCTCAGCTAGATAGAATTGCAGCTTAGTATCAATGTCCATGGTGCGAATTAAAAGTAGCATTTACTACTTGAAATGTTAATGTATTGACATTACAGTTACTAAGTCCAAATAGTCACTGATTTGTTCATCATGTATGTACTTCATAATTGCATGTAAGACTCCTAAAAGAAGGAAACACTTGTGATAAATTTCAGCACTAGCTATTATTTATAAATATAGTACCAATTGAAATTAACAGTAATATTGAAACATTTATTTGATAAACCAAACAGTTTTATTTATGAACAACGGGTTACTATACGTTTTCATGGATAAATATCACACACATTGAATAAATTTAAGGCTATCTAAACTCAATAGCTTGATAGATAAAATGTTATTGTTTGAAACGATTAGTGTTATGTCCTAGTTTCAGTGTAAATATCATGTATATCTGGCTGACCAGTCTTATAATATTAACAAAACGCATGTTCTAGGTTTCATTCCAAGTCGTTACATTACAATTCATTTTCCTTGTTTAACTTGTTGCTAGGACGATCCTATTGACGCAGGTAATTCATTATTAGCAATATTATAAATGTCACATTGTTTTTTTTCTTATTTAGTTTAATAAAATCTCTTCAGTACATTGTACAATAAAATACATTATGAATTACATAAATCACAATAAGATCACATTTTTCAAATTGTGTAAATGAACTGATTATGCCATAGTGTATAATCTTATATAATACAATCATATTTCATTATGTTTGATATTAGTATTACTAAATACCTATGCATTGTGTATGTTTTTTTTTATTTTCCTGGACTGTAGAATATTGAAAAATTTGTAGAAAATACTGGGAAATAAAAATAAATTAGGGAACTGAAGGAACAAACAAATATTTGTAACTAGGGTATGAATAAGTGGATAAATAGGTATGTTTCATACACATAGTTCCCCATTATTATTTTGAAAAGAGCAAGAATAAAGATTCTAACAGAATAACATGAATTCATTTTTATTTTGTCTGGTTCTCATCAGCTGCTTGCAAACTGTGATATTTAAAATTATAATTACATAATGGGTTTAAATGACTTACATGAGAGAGTTTGGTTGATGGTTATATTGAAGACATATTCTTATAGTATAGCGAAGGTGTAAATAAATTGAATGAACTGAATATTGTCAATATGTACCTTATGTGAAGGAACATTCTGCAACAGTGATTGTGACAACAGTTCAAACGGCCAGAAACAAGTGATTACATAATAAGTAAACATCAATAGGAATAAAATGAGTCGAGCTCAGTTGATAAAATAAGATTATTAATTTGGAAGATAGTTCAAAATATAACTAAATGATGTAATAAATGCAGGGAAGAGTTTAAAGAAAAAGAAAAACAATTTTTTTTAAGATACAGCGGAGGAATATTTGTCACCAAGGCAAGGAAAGATTAATAACCATCTCCTTTTGAACACATAAGTTAGTTTTTTGATGCCTGCTAGCAACGGCTTCAGCAAACTTCAGAAGACTAGAGTTTGACTGCTTACTAATCACCTTGAAGGAATGCAATATATCGACCTGATGTTCTGTATCAACAAGATGTTTGGTGATTGTACTATTTATAGTCTTTCTTTCTGTTGTTCTGAGGCTCTTCGGAACACGTTAAAAAAACTAAGATATGCCCTCCTTTGTGTTTGACCAATATAGCTGCTTTGGCAGGTACACGTAAATTTATAAATACAGTTGGCGTTAACATGAAAGGGGTGCTTGTCAACCTCAGATTAGGTTATTGAATACGTTATTTTATACACAATTAAAAGTCTGACCGCCGGATAAGCTCTGGCTAACGCAGTGTCCAGTCTCCTTTAGATTGTGTTCGCGACATTATCACCTTTGAGTTAACATTTATGGATATTGGTCTTTTATTGACAGTAATTACTTCCGTCTTGTTATCTTTAGGCTTTTTATATTTGTCAATAAACTTTTGTGGGTAAAAGTTGTTTCTTAGACACTTTCCCACGTTCATCAATTCTTTTTTCAGTTTGTTAGTGGTGAAGAGAACCTACGAAATAAAATGAATTCATGATATTGTGCTAAATTTTTTGTTCTTACTCTTTTCAAAATATGTATGTAATGGTTATATTTAATATTATCTCTATGATGGCTTCGACCTTATGTAAATGTATCACAGTATATTTAGTTCTATGATTATTTTCTGTAGTTAATGTTATTAAGGATAAACCTTAGATTTGTTTTTTTGGTGCTTTCAAGCATATTTCCTATACTAGATCTTATTCTACAATTCGTTCATATTATATTTATGATATTTCAGTAATTGCTATCGGTTTATATACTCATCACATCTTTGTGCTTATTGAACACACTTTCGTACACAAATTTAATTAGTCTGTTGCTTGGATAGTTGATACAGATTTTTTGAACATTTTTCAGATTTCCCAAATATTTTTATACATAGTGCCCAAATAGTATATAAAGGGTGCTAAATAAAAATAATATTTATCCATAATAAGTAAGGTTATTTATTTATGAGCAGTTCTGAAAAACACATTAATTTTAGTATTGTCGTAAGTGATGATCCAGGAGCAACATAAAATGTTTCGTCTTCTTAGACGATGTCTTTTCCAGGCTTCTGAAGGCTTTTTTAGGGAAACTCTTCAAGGTTCCTAATAAATTTGATTTCACCAAGGTTTATACATTCTATACACATTTTGTTGCTCTACATTACTAATTCATTTTGTCAAAAATGCTTGTCTTGATGCAACTTTGAAAGTTTTTGGAAGGTCTAAGTTTAAATTTTTTTATTATTACTGTTGCCAAGCTGTTTGTATCAAAGCGAATATAATATTATTATCAATTTTTGAATATGATCTGAACTATGAACTGTTTCCAAACAGATAGTCGTTGAACATTTCGAAATATCAGACATTTTTCTCAACTGAACATGAGATTTATCACTGGCATACACTCAATGCCACTACACCGCTACCAATTAAAATGAAACTTAGAACTTAAAAGTTTTGCATCAGGCATGATGTGTTTACTATGAGTTATATATATATATATATATATATATATATATATATATTTGACAAGCAGTTTTGAGTACTTAACGTCACATTTTTTATTAAATAATGTTAGAGTTTGTTTCAGTGAAAATAATTCAAATAAAGTAGAATCTGCACTTTGATAATACCGGTCATAGTGTGCAATTTCATTTCGACTAGTGATCGACTATATTGCTATTCAACACATACATATTCCACTAACACTTGAAGGTCCAGGCAAAAACATAGTATTCATAAGTATTACTCAGAAGTACTGGACTAATCTTGATCAGATGACCACTAAAAGCAGGAAGTACTAGACAACTGTTGTGTCACCCCATAACTCCCATCAGAAATGTTTGGTCGCAACTTCATCAGAGATCAAACCCAGAATATTTTACATATCGAGGTGAGCGCTTAAGCTTTAAACTACTATGTTACTATTGAGTGGTTTAAACATCCGAATTCACTCAACTTCTGACACTGCTTAGTCATTTTCGTTTGCTATTAGTGAGCAACTACCTCATATGGTTGAATTCCAGTGTTTTGAGCTTTTCACTAGAATTCCAAAAAATTATTTGTTTTTTTCATAAGCAAGTATCGGATCAGCCTTTGATGCAAACTATGGCATTTAATAGTCAACACGAACTATCTATAGTTACTTACTTACTTACGCTTGTTACTTCCAATAGATCAGAGGGCCGACGACCAGTGTTCTCCAACCCACTCTGTCCTTAGCCTTCCTTTCTAGTTCCAACCAATTCTTGTTCATTTTCCTCATGTCTATCTCCATTTTCCGGCGTAGTGTGTTCTTTGGTCTTCCTCTTCTCCTCCTTTGGCCTTGGGGATTTTATGTTAGGGCTTGTCTTGTGACGCAGTTCGGTGCTTTCCTCAATTTGTGTCCTATCCAGTTTCAGCACTTCCTCTTGATTTCTTCCTTCTCTGGAATCTGATTTGTTCCTTCTTATAGTAGGTTATTGCTGATAGTGTCCGTCCAAGGATCCGAAGTATTTTGCGTAGACAACTGTTAATAAACACTTGTACCGTGTGGACGATGACTTCTGTTTTCACTTCATACAGTAGAACTGTCTTGATATCTGTATTGAAAATCCTGACCTTGGTATTGTTTGACAATTGTTTTGAGTTCCAGTTCTTCTTCAATTTTAAATATGCTGCTCTTGCTATGCTGATCCGTGCATCAGATCCACCGTGTTCATCAACGATGCTGCCTAGATATGTGAATATTTTTACATTTTTCAAATCTTCTCCATCAATTTTGATTTGATTGTTGTATGCTGTATTGTATTAGAGAATGTTGCTTTTCCTTTTGGGTATGTTAAAATCTACTGTTGCTGAGTTTACTACTACAGTAGCTTTATTAATTTTCCAAATTATTTTCATTATTATTTCTTATTATTATTTTTTCTTTTCTATTCATTACAGATATACACTACAATGTGTTCTTCCAGTAAATTATTTTATTGAAAAAGTATATATATTTCTATGGTTTTGGTATCTATTAATGGCATGTTTAACAATATTAAATACATTTATATGGATTATAAAATTATGTTTACCATATCGTCGTGTACAATTTATACGTCAATATTTAAAAGCATTAAAACAATTATCACATACAGAAGAAACAGAATGTGCACGATTTGTTAATAATAATTTAGGATGGGATGGTATATTTTTATTACAAGCAGTTAGTAAAATATCAAGTGATTTAATTGTACTTGATGTAACTGGTATGTTATGGAGTAATTATCAACGTGCTAAAATTACTGGAACTGAAGAAAATATTGGACGATTTATTGAAAGTATCAATCGTGTTTAAAAAAATAAATTGTATCAAAATAAACTTCTTCTTCTTTTTCTCCTTGTTTTTGGTAAACAAAATATAAACATATCAAAATGATTCTTTCTATAAAAGTAATATTTATTATCCTGTGATTTATTTATACAGATGACTAATAAGTCTATCTCTCCTTCCCTCCCTCTCTCTCTCTCTCTCTCTATATATATATATATATATATATATATATATATATATATACCTAGTGAACAATTAGTATACATGTACATATATGCCTTTTATAATCGCAGCAAATTCTAATGAATTATTTGATCATTTTGTTTTACTAAAACTAATTGCTCAGCTCTTCAATGAATTTGAATTTTCTTCCTTAGTTACAATTATTATTATTATTAATACTAATTAATATTATGTTAGTAACAATTATTATTTATTGATTGTTTACTCTTTCTAATAATAATAATAATAACTAGTAAATAATACTATAAATGAATATATTATAAATGAGATATCAAATTACCCATTATGTAATTGTTTTAAATAAGAATTCAATATTGAAGATACTCTTCTTATTCAATTATTTATCAATATCTTTAATCTTATTCCTTTTCATTTTCACTAATCAGTTTCTATTTAATTTCTATTGAATATTGTATAGGATATTTGTGTATAAATGAATATTATTTATTAAAATGAATTCTATTGTATAATTATATTGGTGTGTATTTATGTATATCCATTGAATAAATGAAACTATATATATAATGTAATTTCCTAATTTCCCATACAGATTGAGAAATTTTCCCCCCTTTGGTCAGATTTTTATTTAACACATAAATGCAAAATTTATTTATATAAAAATGCAAGTGATCTTCGTTATTTTTTTTTCTTGATATTTTTGTCATGGTAACAATTGTTAATCAATAGGTATGATATCAAACTCATAGACATTGTTATTTATCTAATATGTATATGTGAATAACAAATAGAATTATGGTCTTCCTGTAATTCAGTTGAGTTGAGTATAAATAGAAGACAGAATAATATTTGTTCTGGCTCATATTTTCAAGTCATTTAATAAATTGGTGATAATCGGTTGAAGGATATTGAAAGAAACAACAAGATTAAATTCACTTGGGGGTTGTTTTACTTGTATCTTCCTATTTCTATTTAGGATCTCAATTGATCAGTCTCATGTTCGAATATGTGCATCCTGTGCGGATTATCTCGATAAAGCCTTAAGTCGCAAGCTATTTAAGCAGGGATGGATACAGGTATATCCAGCTGACGAGTCCTAAATAGAACGAAACGTGAGTCCTAGATCCCACTGCTAGCCACTATCCATCTTTGCTTAACAAGATTGAAGTATTTTTGAACAGTGCTTGAATGATGATTGCTTTCTTCGTCATATTATTAAATATATTTGTGAATGTAAACTACTTCCTTCATTAAAAAAATTCTGCAATGTGTCACTAAATCCCAAATTGAATGTACTATGGAACTTATCTCTAAACTTAAAACGGAATCCCTTGGTTATGACAAAATTGTTATAAATTTAAATATTGTATATCGAACATATGCATCAATATTTGTTCTGGCTTTATTTAAATTCATAAATGGGAACTAATTACATGAAGTTTGATGAGTGTTAGAATGAAAAAAGAAGTATGAAAATCTGTAATTTGAATAGCTAGATTCTGTAAAATCCGTTAGTATGCTCGGTCAGACTATAACTTATAAATGACCTATAAGTTATGTTAAAGTGACCTTGAGAATGTACACGTACTAACTAGGACTAAATGAAGATTATAAACCAGTGTGAGGAATTAGAATTATGATTTACAGTTGATGCTTAGAATTAGGAATTTGTTTCTAGGTTTTCATCAGAAACTGAATTTTGCACCAAAATCCAAGACTCGTTATTTCATGTCTAGTTGGTTCGTTCATAAATTATAGTCTTTCCATAGGCTATTATCCTTTAGCTTTCATAGAACTATTAGTCATTTGATTATAATTTAATTCCGCAGATTTGCATTAAAAATATCCAAGTTAGATATCTATTAATTTTCAGAAATTACTATCCGTTGTAGTCTGATATTGTTTTAACTAAAGGTTGGAGAAGGAGTTAATATGAATGATACATTGATTGTGTAACACATATACTAAATGAGTTGACAGGCTTGTTGTTTTAAAAGGAAGAAAATTAAAATTTTCACAAATGCGATGATTCATTCTCTTATTTTATGTGTCTCAACTACTGAACTCCTTATCCCTTTAACCTATTTTATTGGCTACCGTTTGCATGTTATTTCCCACCTTATGGTTCACATATAGATATAGTGACATATTGAGCAATCCTGTACAGATCGCATCAAATCGTATAGTCACTTGGTAAATGAGATATCCAAATCTGAGTGAATATATTAATCAGATCATGTACGTAGTCAAGGTTAGTGCACCATGTTCACATCAGGATCAGTTAACTAACCGTAATATATTAATCGGTATTTGATCATACAGCTTCCTAAAGACTTTATGCCTTCCTATTATGAATGGCTGGCTGGGTAAGCGTATTTAATTGTTCAATAGAATTGGATCGGACTGTTGATGGTAAAACCTATTTAACAATTTCGTCAGTATGGTATCCCATGATTCATGCGAAACAGTAAATTTAGAAATAATAACTTCATGTGTTTATTTCGTTAAGTGAGAAAGTTTTATTACAGATTTCATCCGACACTTAAATGATACCTATTCTCTAATTAAGTTATTTTGCTCCATCCTTATACCAGACACTTGTACAACTATAAACCTTACCAGACAATCAAAATTAAATACCAATAATTTTGACTGCAAAACCAAAAGCTTTAGATTGCTGTTTCCGAAACCATCATCATTGGTAACTTTTAATAAGAGGATCAATTAAAATTCTAATTCATTTTTGAATATACCTATTATAGCCGGACAGTTCACAAAAAGGGTTCAGGCTACTAGGAAGATATGAATCATTTATTCAACGAAGATCACACCTCATGCTCTCTTCTCTGTATCAATTCACAAACCTCTATGCTTAATTTAAGTACATTAACATTAAGCTCTAGTCAATAAAGTTCCCCATACAGTTTTCACCTTGAAAATATGCAATAGTGACTAAATCAAACTAGGTAACAGGACATGTTTAAAAATGTTTTAAATTAAGCTCCGTTTAAACAAGGAAAAGAACGGAAAACCTGCTTAGAGGAGACCTGATGTTCTTCGTTTCAAACTCCATTCAGGGTCATAAATGTACGCTTGGAATGAGTCCCATACTGAGATGAAAAAACTATCCTTTAATAGTTGTCTAATTACGTAAATTATGTAACTCAGCAAATACTTGCTATGTTTCAATAATTCATATCATATAATTTGCACAATTGTGATACTACTCAGAAAATAAAAATACGATGATAAGGAAATGATTCAATTATGATCAATTCAATTAAGCGTTATGTTTATTTTACCTTAAAAAAACCCCGATGTGAAACGCAAACGTTTGTCAATTGATTTCATTTAGTAGCAAAACTTCTATTTATTTCAATATCTTGTTAACAACATTAACTGACTGAAACAAAAATGAGGGGAAAAAAAGGGAACTGAAAATAATAGATTTATGGACGTTGAAGAAGAAAGTAACAGTGGCGAGAAAACGGTGGAAGATTGGGAATTAACTATGTCTAGAAATAGGAGAAAATTTAATTTAGCCAAGAAATTGAGACAAAGATAGATGTAGAAGAAATAGAATTAGTTGTCTAGTTTGTATTTATTCAAATTGTTGTAATATTATTATATAAAACTTTCGAGTTGATTCTTTTATTTATTTTGGAGGGTGAATAAGGGAAAAAAATATTTGCAGTGGTAACTTATATCAAAACAACAATCGTGAAGGGAAACTATAAATAATGGAAGTAATAGGGAATGGAATTTGAAAGATACTTGAAAGTTTGGTAAAATGCCTGGAGCGAATAAACTTTATCGTTCGTATAGGAGTGTTGTAGAGATCACTGAATTTGTAAACTGATTTCAGTTTGATCACCACTGAAATTCAGGAAATATTAAACAACTATTTCATCCTAGTGTACGACTCTTCAGTAGTACCTATTTACCAAACATTAGGCATAAAAACCAAGTTTATCAAGTATTCCAGAGAGTTCTGAAGCATTATGCTACTAAGTGAGTGAGCAATACACGTAACCTTAAATAGGACGAAACATAAAACTGATCAATACCATGTCAGACAAAATATTTTGCGTTCTTGAGTCATCAGGTATCTGAACGGAGTCGGCCGATTTTTTTCTCGACAGTCTGATGTATCCAATTAAAAGCGTAATACGCTTCTCCTTGTTCGAAAAATGGGAGAATTTCGCTAAAAGGCAGGCTTCCACTCGAGAACAACTGTATTTTCTCCATGAGTGTTTTCGCCAGCATGTTCTACCAACAAGTGTAAGATATAGACCTTCAATCAACTGCCCATTGGGATGGAGAACAGCTGAGCGAAATGGAAGAAAAATGGTACACCTAATGATAACGGATGCACATTACAGGATCCGCAAATACCAACACGTCATAGAGGACTAAAATATGAAGCTACAAAGGACACTCATTTCAGAACATTTGGAAATCTTTTACCTAGATTAGTTACAACTTAATTAACAGAATTTAATGAAAGTTAAAAAGAACACTTTAGACATGAAATTAATTACTATTTGGTGGTCAGTCGATGTAAATTGTCCAGATTTACTTCCGAATTCAGATACAAAACTTATGTTTTATTCATTTTAGACAAACATAAAAATCAGGCTGTAAAAAAATATCTGATTTTCATTGTATTTACAAGAATAGTTTGCGTGCCGATATAGATATAATTCGACAAAATACCTTAGTAAATTAATGCATAAGTAGCAATTTTTATAACAACAAACTTACATGACAGAAAAATTGTCGTAACTTTTCTAGTTATTCTATCACATATATTTATCAGTATAGAGTTTTGGAGATTGTTATGTTTTTGATTGAGATCACCATTGGAAACCTGGAAGTACTGGACTTCTGTCTTGTTATCGTATGAGACTACTGAGCGATGCGTATCCGCGATCCCGCACGCGGTATTCAAACTCAGAACCTTTGACCACGTGCGCAAACACTTAACGTTTTGACCACTTAGC